ACTTTTGTAGGTTTAAATTTCAGATTATATATCTAAGTCTTTATTTTTCATATATAATTTAAAATAAGCTTTTTTTTGTAAAAATTTTAATTGAATTTCAATAAAATTAAAAATATGATTTCATTATTAATATTTTTTTTTTAAAAAAATCAAATAACTAATTTGCTAACTAAAATATAAAACAATTAATATAATATAAATAATTTATTTTAAATTATTTATTAATAAATATTTACTATATTTACTAATAAAATAACAACAAAAAAATAATTTATTAGAAAAAAACTATGTATATACAAAAATGTTCTATTAAAATTATACTAATATTAGTCCTAAGGTTGTAACAATAATCTGAACATCTGGGTATGATTCAGTGAGTTAACACAAGTTATAGGTTTAGAGAATTTAAAGTAAAACACTCAAGCAAAGGTGTTAGATATAGCAATTAATAAAAAATCTTTAAACAGACTCCTTAAATAGGTAATATAAAAAAGTTATGTATATAGCCAATTGTACTTTCTCCTGTAATAATTTATAAAATTACATTACCAATAAGTCATTAATAAAAATCAAAAGACCAAAAAGGTTATTTTAATACTAAAAAAAAAAACTATACTAATACTAATCTGACTAAATTATATTTATGAACAAGTAACAAAAAAAATAAATAAATATGAAAATACTAATCAAATTTAATATTTACTACAGCTACTACAAAAAATCTCATTTAAAAAATTCATGCTACTATATATTTGTTTTTAGATAGATTATAAAAAGTTTTAAATAAAATTTCTTTAATTGCAATAGTATTAGATCTTTAAATAAAAACTTTTTCTTATATAAATAAATATGAATATATATAACAATGAATATAAGCTAAATTACTGCTAAAAAATTTATATATTCAACTTAAACAAAATTCAGAAAGTCAAGAGATATTAACATACAAACTTTGACTCTAACTATAGCAGATTCTATTAATAATATTGATGATATTTTTGCAAAAATGTGAACTAATAATTAAATAGAAATTCTTATACAAAAAGATGATAAATTTACTTATTATTTGAAGTTTTCTGAAGAGCAAAAAATATTGATCTATTAAATATAATGACAAAAACATCAAGCAAATTATTATATTTGTCTCAACTAACATATACTTTTCTATTCCTACTATATCAGTTCCTAGTAAATATCTTTTTTCAGATGCTAATAATAATGTTTTAGCAAAAAGAACATGATTAGCACCTAATTTAGTAAATGTATTTTATTTTTAAAATGTAATAGCATATATGTTCCAATATTTTCATCATTAGATACTGATATAAATAATGATAGTTTTTTTTTCATTAATGAAAATTCATTTAAATAAATAATTGGATTATAAAATTATATTGTAACTGTGCCTTTTGTATGAAAATTTAATTAGAGTTAGAGATAACGATAGCGATGAAATTAAAACTTAACAAGGATTTTTTTTTAGTTTGTTAATACAAGTAAAATTTGTTTTAATAAAATCTATATAATATAAGCAAGTGCCTCACCTTAATACCAAAAAAAAAAAAAAAAGATATAAGCAAGTACTATTGTATGTATGCAGATAAAACCGGATTAAATCCGGTGCTGATCTTTACTAATTAAATAAATCCAGTTTTTTAAATCCGGTTTCAAACTCTACACATTCATATTTTATTTTTTAAAAATAATTTTATACAAATTGATTAATTATTTTTTAATTATTAAATGTAAATAATGCCTCTAATTAGATAATCCTTTTTGTTGACTAAATGAGAAAATATTGCTAACAGATATAAAGCAAAAATTAACATTATCAAGGTAATTATCACAATAATGCACAATTATTGGTTTTAGGGTTTGGGATTTCGAAAAATGGTCAACGTCGATTCAAAATTAGGTAGAAATGTAATTACCCCTTTAGTCGAATTTGGGTAACATCACTAGTTATGAGGACTATCACTATTAAATGCATCGGAAGACAGTCAACGTACCTCAGATTGTCTGTATAACGATCGATATCTGAGATGTGTCAGCTGTCACCTGACGCAAGCTCTCAGGCACAACATATATATATATAATTACATAGTTATATAGGTTTTGCAAAAAGACAAAAGAAAGAACTATTTTTTAGATTTAAAAAATAAATTAGATTTTTTTTTTTTATAAATACCCGAAATTAAGCGTAATTTTTATAGCCAAAATTCTCGTGATTTAATAATCGGATCTGTGTAATTTTGGTACCATTCGAATCAACTTATCGAATGATACCAAAATTATGCAGATCCGATTATTAGATCACGAGAATTTTGGCTATAAAAATTGCTGCTTAATTTCGAAAGTATACAATTTTGATATTAAATTGACAGTTGCCACAAGGTATCTAATATAAATCGGATCCGTACCATTTCACTGACAGCACATTCCACCGATAAATTTTTTCATCACCTTAACTTTAATTCTAATCTGACCCAACTGTCGGTGAATTAACTGTTGGTGAAATGGTCTGTAGGTCGACGAAATGAGCACCACTCTATATATTCGATATAGAAATAGACGAATTTACAGGGTTTGAGGTCACAAGATTAATGAATTAGAATTACAGGAAACTTTTATTTGTAACACATCTAATATCTTTGATATTAAGAGTAAAGAAGACAAGGGTTCTGACAGGTCAGGATCCAGCCCGATCGATATTCAAGACCCCAAATATTTTGAAATACTGATAGTCAAATATTCAACTGATTTAAAAATCCCGAATATTCAAGAATAAAATCATGATAAAGAATTGGTTTAATCATAACGATATTTGGTTAAAGATTATCAAATTTAAATATATCTTGGTTTATCAGGGTATTAATAGGTTACCTGGGTTATCCGGATAAATTATTATATATTTTTCCAATCCTTAGTATAGTGGACGATCAGGTTTTTGTTTTTCTTTGACATTTACTGATCATGTACGTACATGGTTTTATTACTCTGATAGATTTGCTAAAATGTAGCGAAAATGCAGTAATACTTTGAGTCGTTAGTTTACTCTATGAAACTTAGCTTAGTTTATATGCACATAGTAAAAATTTTGAGATATAATAACAATACATTTAAATTTCTAACATCTATAATAAAAAATATATATAGTTGTACCCCGAATTGGGAATCTGTCCCGATTCTGAATCGGGAGAGTCCCGGATGAGAATTTTGTAATTTTGGCCCGAATTATACTAGTCAAAAATTTTTTTTATTATAAACCCTAACATTAACCCTAAAGTCTTAATTCTGCCAAAACAATTCACAAGATTCCCATTCGGGGCAGCCCGATTCCAATTTGGGGTACGACGTATAAACGTAACAATACTATGAAACCAGTTTTAAGCAGTTTTACTCATTACTGGGTACATCGTACTTCAGATTCGAAGAATTGTAGGCAAATATTTATGTCAAAATTTGGCACCGAAAGTTATTCTTTAACTCATGAATATATACTACATCACATACTTCTTCTACCTTTAGTTATCCCGAATTAGACCATATATCCATCAAAGAAGTAACGCTAAAATGAATTGCAAAAAATTGGCATTAGAGAGGGAGGATGAATGAAATGCAGGAATGAGTATGAATGACGCCAAAGAAAACCTGACTTTAATCCTACATAATTAAGTCCGGTTTTCCTTTGGCGCAAATCTGTTATTTTAAATTCACACTATTCTAATTTGACGTACGACATATATACATAATACTATATTTGTAAAACAAATGGTTTGAATTTTTAATTTTTCTTATGTAAACATGATCACATATATTTAAAACTGTTGTCACGGCTGAAGCTGAAGCTTGAAACTTAACCAATAAAATTAATAGATCAACTATTAAATTAACCAAGATGTATTGGTTTTAGAATTAGCATCAGCCGTGACAAAATACATATTAACTAATTAGGCAAAAAAATTTTTTTTTAAAAGATTAATTATAATATTTAAAATAAGCATAGAGCAGCAGTATAACGATAAATAAAACCTTTTAATACGTAAAACTGACACTGCACGGGGTCAAATATTTGCTCAATCCTTATTAAATTCCGCAGGTTTTTTGAATCCCACCTAAATTACTAAATTGAGTGTTATCCAAGCCAAATGTCTAAGCATGGTTATAAACTCCTGAAATTAATTAATATATAATATACATATTTATTTTTATATATCGATATATACTTATTAAATATACATGTTTACCTTTGGGCAATTTTTTATCTAGTTCAAAAAATCCAAACTCATGTCCATTGGCAACACTACCTATACTAATGTAAAATATATATATATATATCTATTAAATTTATATATGAAAAAATAAACTTATTAACCAAATATTCTCGTTAAAAAAAAGCATTTTTTTTATTATACAAACTTACAAAATTGGCCGACAAATTAGTTAAGAATTCAAATCGTAAAGACTCTCACACTTTTGAGTGAACTCCCTCAGAGCCTAAATCAACCCGGGCTTTTTTGATTTTTATTTGTAATGAAAACCAAATTTAGTTTATATAAATGATTATCAATGTTACTTTTAGTAATATATGTATATACTACTTACAGCTATCGCCATAATACCTCAAAAAAATTTAAACGTTCTTGCCGTTATTAAATATGTTTCTTACCACTACGTATATATAAAGTGATTTTAATGCAGTTGGGCTTAAATTGTTATTATAATTGTTCTATCATCATGTAAAGCTATGTAAAGCTATATAATGAAGTTATCGTGGCTTCTCGTGTAACCTCTCTTTCAAGTAAATCTATATTAATATGGGTTATTTTAAATTCTGTGATTTTTATGAAACCTAAAAATCACGTGAAAACCAAGTTACTATTATCGTTATGTATATTTAGCTACCTTACCTAACTTGGCGTTTTCTATCATTGTGGCGAACTGAATTAAAGAATCCTTTACCATACTCTGTTCTATTTTCCACTTGAAACTCGCGAAACATGGCTCAAAGCAAGAGCGCCGCCTATGATTATCTCATAAAACTTTTGCTAATTGGTGACTCAGGTTTGTGAACTGTACAAATTTACAAAAGGGTTGTACTATATTTGACTTTATCAACTGAAGAACTATCTTTCGCTCTTCCATCTTTCGTGAACGCATCTCTACCGAGCTTTATACTTCTTCGTTTATATTATTATTCCTCTGTTTTTTATCGTCCCTCTAAAAACTTTCGTTGTTCTTTATAGGCGTTGGTAAAAGTTGCCTGTTACTTCGTTTTTCTGATGACTCGTTTACCCCTTCTTTTATCACTACTATCGGAATCGACTTTAAAATCAGAACGATCGAATTGGACGGTAAACGAATCAAACTCCAGATTTGGGATACTGCAGGTCAAGAGCGTTTCCGTACTATCACAACCGGTAAAAATATATTTATACATCTTTTTTTCGAATTATCGTTCATTTTACGTCTATATATTCGTTATTTATGCTATTATTCTATTTTATATGCTTTCAAAAGCTTACTATCGTGGTGCTATGGGTATACTTTTAGTATATGATGTCACCGATGAACGGTCTTTTAATAGTAGGTTTCCTTTTTTTAAAAAAAAAAGTTCAAATCATGGTTTTAACATTGATAATAAAGAGAATAAACTTCATTTATGTTTATCTATTTATTCATAACTTAATTTTCTTATTATTAAACAGACATAAGAAACTGGTTTTCCAACATAGAACAGCATGCTAGTGAAGGTGTTAATAAAATCCTTATTGGTAATAAATGTGACTGGGTTGAGAAAAAGGTACTTTTTAAATTTCAAATATTTTTTATCCCTAATAAAATTCTAAAAAATTCTTTGAATTTAAATTTACAATCCCTTAGGCAATTACTAAAGAACAAGGTCAGCAACTCGCCGACGAATTTAAAATCAAGTTTTTAGAAACTAGTGCCAAGGCTAATATTAATGTGGAAGAGGCTTTCTTTACTTTGGCCAGGTTAAAATTCACTTTTACCGACATATCGAATTGTTATTAGTATATTCCTTCATATTAATCATATATTACCCTCAATTTTTTTATAACTTAACTACAGGGACATTAAGAAGAGATTGATTGACTCACACGCACATGAGCAGCAGAAAGCTCAAAATCTTGACAAAGTTAATATAGAATCCAAATCTAAATTTACTAGTGGTTGTTGTAACTAGATTATTCTTATCTTTTTAAAATTTGCAAGGTGTGATAAGTTATTTTGTTTATCTTATTATTATTAACATGACTCACTATTCGTGATATATTTTTTGTCGCGAAATTGGACTGTGAAAATTATATTTATGCAAGCATTATGTTGCAAAGGTGCATTATTTCTTTTTAATGATATACGATGCAATTATCAGTCTTACCCATCGTTTCGTTCGATGTCACACACTCTTTTACCTTTAATCTTTATCAATTGGTATTTTTTTTCCTATTACCAATCAATTTATATATTATTTAATCCTTTTAATAATAATGGATTAATATATCAGTTTTCTCTATTAAAATCGTAATATGCGTTTTTTCTCTTAATAGACGATTTTGAAAGTTTCTAGTTCCTTGATTTTTGGTGTTACACTACTATTAATGCTTTCCTTTTTTTAGCTATGGATTGTGCACCATTTTATTTTCTTTCCTCAGCCATCTAAATCGGATAATTAAGAGTATCCAATATGTCAATATATGTATATTAGTTTATCAAAACTCAAAGCTCATGTGAACCCAAATTGATAATAAGTAATCTGCTTACATGTTATTATTTTTGGCGTAATAATGATATCGGTTTCAAGGCACAGACTCTGAATCTAACATTGATTCACATTAAATTCAAATTTGGGTATATTGTAACTTTACCTGATTATAACGGATTTTAGTGTAACAACTTTGAGTTTGCAGTTTCTTTTATATACGTGCTATAAATATATTAAAATTGTGTTCTGGCCAAAGTAAAATTACTTCAGTGGTGCTAATTCCATGTATATCTTTTTAATAAAAATTATTGAGTTAGTTATTCTAAAATATAACAAAAGTAATAAGTTTCAAATTTTAATTATAATAAGGTTTTTAGAAAAGTTATCCATTTTTATTTAGTACAACTGACTTAGTTAATTTCTGTTTTTGGGGTATAACAGCCGTGTGTTAGCATCACTGGTGAGTTTTTTTTTTGGTGTTAAGGTGAGGCCTTGCTTATATCTTTATTAGTAATTTTAGTTGTATATATAAATATATTATATATTAAGATATACTAAGATTCATTTTAATATCAAAAAAAAAAAGATATACTAAGATTGTACAACTAAGGTAGTTAAGGTTCACTTAGAATTTTTTTTTTTTTTTATAATTAAAGTTCCTATCTTGGGGATGTGATGTTTTTATTCAAGTATATTAGGACACAGCATATCACCAGAGGCTCACCTTATATTGAAGGTTACAACTAGTTATATGTGCATTTTTGGTACCTAATTCAAGTAGTCTGCTTACACATTGCTACATAAGTTCTACACTAGTTGCTATACCTGCAAGCCAATTAAGAGTCTTGCCTATTTAAACCCTCTACATATACAATTCTTCTTATATCATAAGAATATCTCAAGGTTACATTCATTTAAGTTTCTGATATTGGTTATTACCCTTAGGACTAATTTATCTTCAATAGGAAACTTATTAGAGTTTTTATGTCTCACACATATAGACCTAGTTTTATACAACATATTATAGTTATTTAACACTTGCAGTCACAATGATTACCTGTTTAACTACTATGTTATACTATTTTTACTCTTATAAAGTTTACTAAAATCCCAGTACCTATCTTTCTGGCATCTTTTTTATTATCTTTTACTAGTCACAACTTAGAACCATCAGTCTCATTCCAGACTACCAATTCAGATGACCTAGTATAATATATTTTTGTATTCTTTTCCTTCAATGAATCTGGTGGCCTAGTTGGTTATATGTTTCTCTATATATATTTGATGTTTGGTTTTAATTTTTGGTTCTTATGAAGGTGTTTCATGGTCTTTAACCTGTCTGATGATACTGTTGAAAGTTCATGCTATCTTTTTATTTAGAAATTTCTAAGTAAATTTTTGTCATCTCAGTTTTTTAGTCTTTTATACCTGATGGTCTTATTGTGGGTTTGTACCAAAGTCTTATACAATATTAGTTATACATTCTTTTATATATATATAATATTACACTTTGTATAAATGCCTCAAGCTTCCAATATCAATAGAACATGACTTGGTATATCTGAGTTATAGTCATATAAGGTCAACTGATTAATAAAAAACAGTTATTATAACATGGATATAATTTTCAAATTTCATCATAGGCGGGATTTAAACTTTAGATCTGCCACTTGAAGGATGACAATCCAACTATTACATTAGAATCACCATCTATTATTTTATTATTATAAATATATTATTAATATTATTATTATATTATTATTAATCATTTAGTTATTTAAATACTTAGTTGCTTAGTTATTTAATTGCTTAGTTATTTAGTTGTTTAGATATTTAATCACTTAGTCATTTAGATGCTTAGTTAATTAGAAAAACTAATTACTTAGTTATTTAGTTATTTAGTCACTTAGTAACTTAATTGCATAGCTTATAAATATATAATCTCTATTAAATTTTCCAAATTAAATTAAGAATAAAGAATATTATATTAAAATTATATATAAATTTAATAGTAAAATTTTTTTATATTTAATTTTATAAAAAATTATATTAAGTAAACTAATATTAATTTATAAAAAAAAATTGTAAAATAGGTCTTTCTAATTTTAATAATATACGCAGAAGACTGGGTTAATGACGGTCAGGCTCAACGTACTGGGAAGACTACAGTATCTTTTGCAGCTGTGCAAGCCGAGCTTAAAACGGTGAGCGACCTTGCAGAAACATCTTCTTACTCCTTGGATTCCAACTCTTCATCTAACTCCAAGGACCTTCCCTGCTATAATATCTT